CTTGCGACAAACGAGCCGCCGTCACCTAATTTTTTATTTAACTGTAATGCTTTTTCACAAAGCAAAGGGCCAGATATCATTTGCCCAGTTGATCGTTTTTGTAAAAACCAACAATACAAAGCGTCTTCTAATTGCCAATTTACTCGCGGACATAGGTCCTTATGTCCGGGACGGGGGTTTGTTAGCGCCTGATAGTAGATCGTCTTATCTCAAGCGGTGTGAAGCGACGATTAGTGAGGTGCGGGAGGGGGAGGCTAGCTGCATTTGTGCGCGCGGTCGGTCACCCCTGTTGGCATCGAGCCGAGCTAGGGAGCAGACGGCGGGGCCGGGCTGCACCCGGCCCGCCGCTAGGGCGCGCTCCTAGCTAGGCACGCGGCGCCTGCGCCGATGACGTTCTCCGGTCGCATTATAGGGGTCGCGAGAGTTTTTGCGCGAAGCCGGGTTGTTCATATATTGAAAGTCTCCTTGTTTTGTCTTAGACTTATGTTAATAGAGCGTGCCATTTGAATTTAAAGACAATTAATTGGACAATAAATAATAAGTGACAAATCTTGCCGTGGAGCGTGGAACTGAGTAGTTGCGCGTCTTGTTAATATAATTGCCGTACGGCCGCCCTGACGTATGTACTGCGCGAACCTGAGTTTTTTGCGACGCGGTCCGGTGATACAGTATTTTTCACAAATAGTGAGTTCGTTATAACGCGGGTTCGGTTAAATCTGGTTGAATTTGATTGGATTAACCTAATGACAATTGACTTAACTATAATTAATGAGTGATAAACGAGCGTAATTTCCTAGACTCTGAAGTTTCTGTGACGGCTTGCCCCTTCGATGGATCCCATACTGGAATAGAGGTGAAGCCTTGGGATCTGCTGTTCGGCAACCAGCGGGAAGTCAGGTTACATAATATAACACGTACTGAGCATAACACTATCACACACATATACTTACACCTGAATCTTCCTAGGTTTGAACCTACGTCGACGAAATAGGTAAGTCTTGTTTGGTTCCTTTTTAACCGCTATTGTCTCATATTCCACAAGCCATTTAGGCCGACCTCCTGTTACTCGTCGAGTTGAACCCCTGGTGGGCCCGGGTTCTACGATCTTTGCCCGGGTAACTAGAGGCCGTAACAATAGCAGAGTAAAAAATTAGAGATTGTGGTGTTTGAAATTTGTCATCTATGAGAGTGAATTTTGTGTGTGTACTCAGTAACAAATAATTATATAGAAAAAAAATGTGAAAATGAAATTTCGCCATTTTTGTTTGTGTACTGGTTAGGAACTCGATCAAAAATTTGATCATTTTTCTGTTTTTATACGTTATTTCTAAAAAAATGTGAAAATGACTATTCGCCATTTTTGTTTGTGTACTGGTAAGGAACTCGATCAAAAATTTGATAATTTCTCCGTTTTTATACGAAGTTATTTTACATCAAATTAATTGTGGAGATATTTTCTTTAGGAAATATGTATCACTACGACGATTCAAAAACGTTTACATATAATAATTTACCTCGAAATTCACTATACGCGATTATCGTTTATTGATTATATGTTGTTTAAAAAGTATTCTTATCAGTTTTTTTTTTGTGTTAAATGGATGCTAAATATAAAAGAATGCTTCAGTATTGATAGCAATTTATTAACGAAATATCTGTTGAGATGTGTCTAGAAATTATTAATACTTATTTTTATTTATTTATTAAAATAATAAATAAATAAAAATAAGTATACATTTATCTATATTGAGTACTAGTTATTCCCCGCGATCTCGCCCGCGTGGAATATGGATTTCATGGGTTTTAATTTTTTTGCGCGGAACCCTAATTCTTTTTCTAAAACAAAAGTAGTTCAAGTTATTCCTTATATCATCAGCTATCTGCCAGTGAAAGTCCCGTCAAAATAGATCCAGCTGTTTCGGAGATTAGCTGGAACAAAAGACAAACAGACAGACCGACAGACAGACAAAAATTTTAAAAATTGTGTTTTTGTTACTAGTACTTTCATATGCATTTAATAAAAAGCTGTTATTTTAACATTACAAACAGACACTTCAATTTTATTTATTTGTAGATATAGATATAAGATATTATTCATATTGGTGTCATTTTAAAGGGAATATCATGTACTATTATAATAATAAAATAATTGATAGGACTATGACACCACTAAGGGAAGTGAAATTTTGATATAGGTAAATTCATGTCTTTATCTTGAATTTGATTGCTCAAAAACACGATAGTATAATTTTGACTCGATCATAATTATTTGCGAAAACACCTCTAAAAAACCACTATAGTTGAAATTACAACGAAATTACTTAATCTATATGCTTCGAAATCACTCAAATATATTCATAACATTAATATTCATAATTTACTTGCTCATTATTTTGATTACTCAAATCAATAATTTTTACAAAAATATTTTAAAGTTTCTGAGAATTTCTAAGCGCTTTTAATCGTCGCGGGCGCTACGCTATTTTTAGACCTTATGAGGGCGTTTTTTCAAGTTTTTATAGAAATTATGCATTCACTCGGATCAGTCCGGCGATAGCCCTTTCGAGGTGTCGTCTTAACGCAATTCCTTTGTATAGTGCGACGTTGCCACTCTTATTAGTTATTCCGCTTCGTAATATTTTATTTATAGGTGATATTTTGTTTATGTAGGTATTCGATAGATTCCTAAAGTCTGTTTTTTTCGCAGGAGACAAAAATAACAGATCTTTATTAGATTCGTTTAGCCCGAATAATACAGTTTTTATGATTCTGGTTCAGATTTGTTTTCTTATCGGTCACCACGCTCAAAAAGTGTAACTTGATTTAATATCAAGGACTTAACTGCATAAATAAAATAAATAATTAATTATAATTGCATAAGTTGATAAAAAATGCTATGCAATAGCTTTACCGCGGCAGTCCCCGAGTGCCACACGTCTTTTTTTTAATTCCCGACGTTACGGGTGCCTTACAGCCCCCGTAGTATTAGGGGAGACTGAGATGTTTGACGTCCCAATGCTATAGTTAGCCCGGCTACCTTCAGTTTTTAAGTATTAATTTTGGTCCAATCTACGCAGAACGAGCTTATATTATTACATTTAAGTCTTGCAGTGGTATGCTTGGGCTTGGATTTAATTTTGTTAATTATAGGAACCCAAGCAGATGGCAGCACTTATCCAGCTTCTCTATTGAAATTAAGATTTAATATTTCAATAGCCTCGCGTATCATACTTGGTGGGAATCGGTTGCGAGGATTTGTGGTTTATTAAATCTGATGTAATGGTGGGGACGATCCTGAACATGTTCAGACTTCCTGGAGCGTTGGTGCTTCACGTCAGCTATATGTTCTTTCACGCGAGTTTTTATAGATCTTTTTGTTTGACCTATGTAAGAGCTCTGAAGCTCGGTGGACAGATGTTTTCTGTCACAGATCTCTTGTGCTCTCTGAAACAAAGATTTACCCACGGCATCGAACTGTGAAGAATGATTGTGAGATTTGCCATTTAAATATAGGTTGGTCTTGTAATAAGGGTCTGTTATCAGGATTTCGGATGACTAAAACATCTAGAAAAGCAAAATAATAATTTGCCTCTAACTCCATTGTGATTTTTATTTTAGAGTTTATGGAGTTAAAATTGTCCAAAAATGCAGTTACTTTGTCAGGTGGTAAAATTGTGAAAGTATTGTCTACGTACCGCTTGTAGAGTCTTGGATTTACAGGAGCATTAAGAAAGGCTTTCTCCCCAAAATCCAGTATGAATATCTCGGCGACTATGGGAGATACATGTGAGCCCATCGCCACACCATCTATTTGTTTCTAAAACTCTTCCTTCCGCAGTAGATAGTTAGATGACATGCAGGGTTTGATTAATACTGCATATTCTGCAGGAATGTTACCTTTTAGCTTTCTAGTTACAATTGAGATACCATGGCGAGTGACTGAATATCGAAACTGACCATAGTTTCATTGTCAGCGAGATTTAGGTCTTTTATCTTATTAACAAAATGGTATGAATCCTTTGTGTTTGCTCTGGTATGTCCTTTCAGTGGTGACAGTATTTTTGCTAAGTGTTGTGCCCACTTATATGTCGGTAAATTGATATGGCTCACTATAGGACGTAGTGGAACGTTTGGTTTGTAAATCTTCGGTAACCCATACAACCTCGGTGATTTGCTACATGATGGTGTTAGCGAATTGACGTCAGATTTGAATAAGTTTATATAAAAGTAAGTTAAAATAGTTAATTAAACGCCATAAATCCCCAAATATATGTAGTTTTATTCAATGCGCAGTGTTAGCGTAAATTTAAGAAATCACTTCTGTTAAGAGTTATCAATAGAATAAATTATAACCTGACTGAATATAAAAGTGAAACAATTGAACTACTACTACTACTACTACTTAACCAATACAACTAATTTTGAATAAGTTAGTGTTATATTTTATTCTATATAAAATATTTCACGTGGAAGAACCAGACTGCAGGTATATTATAGTTGTAGCAAGAATGGGCTAACTCGACCAGGGAAAGATCATGCTGTGTAACCACTGCTATTTGGCAGCTGAAATAGATAATAGAAAACAAAAATAAGTTTCCTACTCAGACAGAATCTTACAGGTAGAAAGATAGTCCTACCCCCTAGTAAATAAATACAGCGTTTAATACATTTTTCGTCCTAAAAGCACAACGCAAAGCTACGATCACTACTACTGCTATCACTAATGGAGATACTGCTTTACGTAATAGATCTGAAAAACAGGATTAAATTAGCAGTTTAGTTTACAAGGATTACGATGGAAAAGTGAATATATTAAACGAATTCTGGATGGATGGATCTACAAAATCTTTCAAGGTTTTTGTTTTTCGAAGTTTTTCTGGATACAAGAATATGTCATGCCAAATGAGAAGATTTAAATTTAGAAGCATGTAAAATTCATTTTCGCTAAATCATAAAACAAATGTTGTAATATGTATTTTGTAGCAAAAACATCATTATAGTCATCCAACCATAGAAGCAAGTACAAGAGCTGGAACATCCGCACGGTTTGATAAATCACCGTCCGGTATCTGAAAGCAATAAAATTAACATGAATATTTTACTATATACTGTAAAAATATTTTTTTAAATCAAAACGAGGCATTATAGTCCTTAGGGATGACTTCTAGACTGACTTATAGATGTCTATAGGTTGCGGCAGCCATTTACCATCAGGTGGACTATGTGCTCTTTTGTGACAATTATTTAAGGATAGGTAGAAAAATAATTTATTTAGATATAAAGGAGAACAAATTTAAATGTTAAAAACATATAACAAGTTTGTATATGGCCTGGATCTGGCATTTATAATGAGAAACGAGATGAGTTTCCCTGCAAAGAGAAGAATCATGAAAGTGAAATAAAATGAAACCCAAACCTCACCTAAGGCTGTTCATGCCATTGTATGAAAAAAAATTTTCCAATACTTTACAATACTTATTAAATGGATTGAATTTATTGATTTGTAGCAAAATACAATATACCTCTTCATTATAGACCGGTGTTGCTGTAGAATTTTCATTGAAGAAGTCGTAAGTAGTAAAATCTTCAATATAAGTAGTCGTTTCTGTATCAGATTTATCCGTAGTTTTATATTCCTGTTTGTTTTCTGTGTTAATCAAGTCTAGATTGGTTTTAATTTCTGTTTTTGGTACCTTAAAAATATTTTGTGGAGATATTCAATTATTAATATTACCTTACCTTATTATTAATAATATAATCATTTGTTGCTTAAGGAAAGAGAAAAACTTAACTAACCTTCTTTGAATTAATGTCTGAATCGTTACTTATATCGCAAGTAACATTTTTATTAAATAAATCGGAATATGATTGATGTCCATTGTCTTCGTATGTGTTGTTAGGATTAACTTCCGTGTTCTTCATTTCATTTTTTCTTATGTTATTTTTTTCGTTCATATATCCACTTCTGGAATAAAATAAGTACGAGATTTTAAGTATTTAAATTATTGACTCAAATTGTATCAAGCACTTTAAGAGAATTAAGTAAATCACAAACGTTAAACTACTTTAAAATTTCTTTCTTCGGCTGATATAAGGCCCTAAATATGCCCTAAAAATCAAATGGAACTACTACTAACTAACTTATATATATAACGGTAACTTGTTAAATAATAAAAAATATTAATACAGTTCATAAATACTATAAAAATACATACAATTTCATTTCATGTTTTGCTTGAGATTGGTCTGATAGCGGCGTTTGAAAGTTAAAGATGAGAGCTGATGATCTTGTATAAATAGCTTCTGTTGGTTTTAGAATATAAAAACACATAGTTTTATTTAACAAAGAAAGTACAGCGGTGAGGAAAATTACCTGTAAAATAGTAAAATATGCACACGTATAAAAAATGAGCCATAAGTCCATTTTAAATATTCTAATACATTATACTCACATTTTTAAGCATTTGCATTGTTGTGAAAAGAATTTTGGATGATTTCAAAGCAATCATATAATAAAAATGTCTTAAAATTTTAAGGGAACAAAAATAGAACTGCTTCGCTTCACTGGCTTTTAAAATATGAATTAAAGGCCAACCTGTTGTAGCGTTTTAGTTTTTGTTATTCTTGGAACGTTTGTCAGCCTCGACAATTGGGATTCCGTGCAATGTAAGAACCATGGCGTTACAAAATATGTGATAACTTATTTTTGATATCGTAATTTTGTTTGTTGATATTTTAATGAAATATTTTATAATTTCATGTTATTTAAGGACATTTTACGTTTTTGTACGTTTTTAAGTTACTAGACTGGAAAGGATACGGTATTTTATCAATTTGCCAACGATATAGTCTTAATTTCTTCAATGTTAGGGCAGTGCTGCCGTTTCTTTAGCGTTGCCAAGTTGACTGTCGGTATATATAAGTGCTGAAGTGTTTGTACAGTATGGCTATTTGAGTACAGAACCAGAGTACGGAACCTATCCGACTGCAGAAAGGTGTAAGACAGGGTGAGGCTATTTCTCCGAAACTCTTCACCGCTACATTGGAAGACGTTTTCAAGCTATCGGACTGAAAAGGATACGGTATTAACATCAATGGCAACTACATCACTCATCTTCGATTTGTTTACGATATAGTCCCTATTACGATATCACAACTCATAGTGTCTCCCAACACTGTCACACCTATTCCAGTGGTTTTTAGGAGCACTAAGCACGAAGATACTAACTTAGTACTGGAGTAGCTTGAAAACGTCTTCCAATGCAGTGGTGAAAATTTTCGGGGATATAACGTCACCCTGTCTTACACATCTCTGCATTTGGATAGGTTTCGTACTGTGGTTTTGTACTCAGATAGCTCCTCTGTACAAACGTTTCAGCACTTCAATACACCGACAGTAAACTTGGTACTGCTGAAGAGACTGCAGCACCGCAAGTTTCGAGGGAATCAAAGACTTTCCCATACTTGTAGTCACCTACGCAAGACAAAGTGGCAGATTGTACTCTTCGGACTGCTTAACAATTTCTCGAAGGGTATGTATGTGGTGGTAACTACGCGGGCGGCGGCATCGCCTGGCATCAAAGGCATTTCACAACTGTACTGTTTGCTTCTCGCCAAATGATCCCAACGTTGTTGCTGATTTTGTCGCTGAAGTACTGCTACAGGGAATGAAACTTTTTATTCCATTATCTGTGGTACCTATCAGAGGCAAAACCCAGCCATGGTTTGGTAGCTCCTGCAAAAATGAATTACGCCATAAGCAGGAGTGCTAACAGGCCTGGGCTGGCGCATCGGCGTCTTGGGATGTAATTAGAGTACATCGGCAGAATTGGCGAGGAACTAGTTCGACTTCCTTCGAAAACACGTGCATTATAGTCTCTTTCAAAGGCTGTACAAGGAACTTCTGTCAGCTATTTCTCCCATATCTGCGCAGGAAGGACGACTCGTAGGCCCATGTCGCAAAAGACAAAGCCGATCTGCTGGACTCTCTCTTTGCGCCCAACTTGGCTCTTGATGAACACACCGCCGACCATCCCGTGGTGGGAGTACTCCATGCAGAATGTGCTGTTTAACCTACGCTTGGTGCGCAAAGCACTCCTCTCCCTGGACGTCAATACTCTCCTTGGACGTCAACAAGTCAAGTAGGTCTGATGGCGTCCTTCCTATTGTGGTGAAGACGTGTATTCCGGAATTTTTACCGGTTTTAACGCGTCTTTTCCGGTACTGCTACTTCCTAGGCGTAGTCCCGAAATCATGAAAGATAGCTTTCGTGCACCCTATCCTTGAAAAAGGTAACCGCTCTAATCCGTCTAACTATAGGCCTATCGCCACCTTCCTTGTTTTCTAAAATAATGGAGTCCATTATTAACAGTCAACTCATGCGGTACCTTGAGGATCATCAGCTGATTCATTACCGCCAGTACGGTTTCTTCGTCTCTTCTAATTATTATTGAATGTTCTCAACGCATTATATGCATGTAAAGGAAATACAAAAATCTTAACAAGCATAGGCATTTTTATCGTTCGTTTTTCCTACACATAAGTCCTATGATGACGAGCGGGTAACGGATTTGAAGATGTAACTTGTGCGAAGCACCATAAGTAATTTATTCATGTCCAGGGTGGGGCTACTTACTTGACTAGAAAATATCAGTGTGGGTGTTCTATTACAAATTCCCACGCTCAAAGATTGCGGTCTTAAGCTATGTCCCATTTTTACGCTTCTACGTTCAACGATTTTGGTAGAGTGCCTTAATACAATATTTTTAACAAACTTTGCACCCAAGTTTAACATATTTTTGAACAAATAAAACTGATATTTTAATTCAAGACGTATTTGTACGCTCGCAAAGCTCAAAAAACTATTATTTTTAAGCTCGAAACGATTATTTGAGATGTTTAAAGGACTATAATTTTTAAATGCGTCGTACGTTTTTGACTTATAGTAATTACATATATATATTGACTTGCTTGACGGCATTTCAGTAGTTTTTTAATTACAAAAATTGTTTGTAAAGTCTTCTGTCAATAAATCGAAGAATTTAAAAGTTATTTAAAATAATACTATTATTCAGAATTTTTTAAATGTAAATTAATTTTGAACGCGTCGATCTATTTGCCAAGCATGACTTTCTTGGTGGAAGTGGGTGCAGTTTTTAAGTACAAAAAAGTGTTTCTGATGTCTAGAGTTGATTAATTGAATATTTTGTAAGTTATTTAGAAAAAACTGTTTTTATTTTTTGAAAATCCTTGAAATTACTTGACCAATTGACTTGAAAATCAAATCAGCTCGAAGTCCCAATAAACACTTTCGAACGCCGTGTCGCCCATCTTTCTAAAGATATCGTATAACAAAATTTTATTTGCATACATACACACATACATACATACATACATACATACATACACACACACACACACACACACACACACACACACACACACACATACACACACCACACGCACACGACACGCACACGCACACGCACACGCACACGCCACGCCCGCCCCGCCTTATACCTTTTAATCGTATCCATTTGGTTTATTTACGAGTACTTTCAGTAAGTTTCGAGTTAATCGCCCCGTAAATTAAAAAGTTTCACTAACTGTAGCACCCTATTTCATCCTCTTGGGGGTTGAACTTTTCAAAATCCTTTCTTAGTCCAGCTGCTGTTGTAATTCAATTTTAGATTTCGTCTATTATGTGTAGTGGTTTGGGCTGTGCGATGATAGATGAGCCTGTCATTTAGGACGTCTTTTATATATTATTTAGTTAGATAAAAGATTACCTGCTGTAAAGAGATAATAAATTGATTCATTAATTTATTTATTCATATCTCAAACATGCAAGGCTTCCTACAACATTTTATTTATCGCCGAGTATAATTGCAATTAACATTTTGATTAGTGCTGGTCATTAGACGTCAATCTTTGATTGCTCCCTTTCTACAAAATCCACGGCAATAATTAAACAGTGCTACCACGCATTAAAAACTTAATGTTAAAATAAAAAAAATAAAAGTTACGTTGGAGGCATGAATAATCGCGGACAATGATCCTGAAGAAAAAAACTAATCAAAGATATTGTTATAGGTTGCAGCAGCGTAGCGTGACTAAAGCATCAGATTAACCTGTTATAAGTTTCACAGCATTTCTTTAGCGGTAAATTAAATAATTTAAGTTAATGTGCCGTCCCGTGGATGTCTTAAGAGACGACTATTGGAAATTTTAAAAACATTTTTACATTAAGCGTAAAATACATACTCGTATACCGGCTTCGGGGAGCCGCATCTAAGGTGTGAGGCGTCTCGTACTGCGATCGTTAATCCGCTTGTCTATAACGGGAGGACCATGTCCAGTGGACTTTTACCGTTACCGTTACCATAACAACTTATTAAAGTCCACTATTGAACATAAGTCTCCCCTTTAGATTGGCTCATATGGGGGATATTCGCCACAGTTGCCACGCTGGGCAAGCGGTTTGGCAACCGCAGTTTTTATTTAATGTTAAGGAAAACTCTACTGCACATTTTCGATTTGTTTCCCTCTGTCATCTCTTACGACACACACAGGATGATATGGGGTAGTGGATATTCTTTCACCACCACTACACGTAATGGACTTTAAGCACTGATGGAAATAATAAAGAATAATAAAAAAAAATCATTATATTGTTTATTTTTCCATGAAACATTAACAGTATAATAATATAAAGAAACCGAAAAAAACGGTGACGTTCTACAGACATATTCTTACCACAAACACCTCTAAATATTAAATGATGTACTTAATCGACTAAGCAGGATATTTTTTGTGCCGATTGCATAGATATGGATTTGCCCAGTACTTATCATAGTAGAAGATTCCGACTAACTAAAATTTTTTGTTATTGTTTTTACTGTCAGTATTATTGGTCATAAATGTGTTCCATACTTACTGTATGTATAATCATGACATCGATTTTACTTCTTCAATCCGTGGATGTCATAAGAGACGTTTTCATCAGGCTATTTTGTATTTCTATAAGATGTAGGTACATTTAATATGAAAAACCATGATGTAAATCAACCTCAAAAGATCTCAACATTATTACAATCTCAAGGCGAAAGCAAAATATTTCGACTGACGTTTATAAAAAAGCTTTTATGGGTTATTTCGTTTATCCACCCTAAAAATTCACTCTAGCGTGGATAATCACAATTCACTTTTATTAATTTGTTCTTTCGAATTTTAACCCACAAACAATTAAACTCATACACTAATTAATTATTAATTTTTAATAGCCACAAATTTAAACAAAAACATGTTACGTCTTGCATTTAATTCAAATTAAACTTCTGCGGCTTAATAAATTTTATACAGTATGTAATTTATAAATCCTGTAATATATGCAGGAAATTACCAACACTAATTTCATTATTGAGTAGACGTAATTTGATATCTGGGATCTGGTCACTTTCAATGT